ATTAAAAATCGATGCTTATATTCAAAATGGTTGTGTATTGTTAAATAAGTGATGTCAACTTATTTACCACCCTCCATGAATTCACCTGACACTCTCCCACGCTGCTGTGTTTACAGCATTCAGTGGAGTAGAATAAAACGTGAATAAAATGTGTTTGCTGTTCTGGAGGAGCCCACAGCCTAGCAAGGAAGACAATATGTAAAAAGTAGACCATGAAGCTAAAGATGCATGAGATAGCTACTGTCAGAGAAGTTCAGGTGCCAACGGAGCCGAGAGAACAAATTCAATAATTAAATGGATTCAAATCATAGCCCTGAAAAGAATCCTAAGAAGTCATCTTGGTTACTCCGCTTCTGTTGTTGCTCATTTGTTTATAACACCAAAGAAATACGAAGCCCAGGAAGGTTAAGTAGTTTGCAAAAATGACAAATTAGAGGCAGAACTTAGAGGACACCCAGGTTTCCTGACACTTGGTTTGCTATTATTTTATATTCTGCCACCCGAACTTGGGGTGTCATCCGAGAGCCCAAGAATGTCACTGGCTCCTGTCCGGACGGAAGGTCTGTGCAGAGCAGGGCTCCTGTGAGGCCCCTGTGTCGATGTGTATCACAGGTTGGTTTTTCTCTTTGCCAAGAAAAGCGGTCATTTCTTACATCTCCAGACTTGGAAACAAAAACAAAAAAACAGCATTTTCATCACCAGCCAGTAACATTTCTAGCAGGAAGAGAGAAGACTGTCTGCTGCGGCAGATGCTCAGCCGGCAGCAGGGGGACGTGTACTTTAGCTGGGGAGCCCCAGACAGAGACACGAAAGAGGAACCAATCACAGCAATAGGTTCGAATGCTACAGTACAGCCCATAAATGCTCCAGAGGTTGTCTGTGCTCTGCCCTGGGAAGAGGAATTAGCATTTTCACAGAGGAAAAGTGAGTTTCAGTGATGCTAATTTGCATGTGTGGTGGTAAAGGACAGATTCAGACTGAGGTCCAATGGGCCCCAAAGTGCTTACCTTTGAACCACACCCTCTCCTTGAGTATAGACTAGCTTTGCTCCCTTCCTCCAAGAAGGATGGGACTTGGAAAGTGAGGAGCGTCCGAGCCTTTGTCAGACATGTGTCCAGACACACAACAGGAGGCCAGAACCCCCTTAGTACTGAGGCTGTGATATGCCTGCTTTGGACTTCTCTGGGGTGTTCGCAGGCTGTTTGTTGTTGGCTCAGTCTCATCCTGTGTGTCCATCGTAAATTCCAGTTGCCCCAGGAAGCATTTCTGCTTGATATGCTTTTACCCCGTAGTGCCAGATGGCACACTCTCTGAGACTTGGACAAAACAAGCCTTCAGTCAATGCCTGATTGCTGGTACTGACTCGCTCGTGGAAGCAGACACAATGAGGTCCTTCTAAGGTAGGCTCTTCCTGTCTGCAATACGCAGCTTCCAGTTGCCTGTCTTCAGCCCAGTCTACACCTGGTATTTCGGGGGTGGGTAGACCTTGAGGGAGAGAAATTCAGTAGCTATTTGTATTGCGTCTAGAATTCAGTGGGCCTTGGTAGCACACTCCCCATAGATTTATAAAAACTTCAGGCACAAAATAATGTTTGGAAACTAGTATCATCATGTTTTGACCATGGTTGATTAATAATCTGCAAAGAATGGGTTATTATCTTGTTTATAGGTTTGAAATTAGCAAACAGTGTAGCAAGGTGGCTTGAAAAGCTCATAAATATTAAGCAGGCTTAATGGATGTAGCGAGTCCGGAATCAAGGATCTCACATCTGTGTTTCAGACAGTACATGCGAGGACGGCGGGAATGTGGAATCTAGACATAGCAGTCAGGGTAGAGAAGGGTGGGACCCCATGTGGGCGAGAAAAGGCTACAAGAATAGGCCAAAAAGAATTCAGGGAGAAGAAGCATAATGTTTGCTTTCAAATACAGGACCTAAAGGGAAGAGAGATTAGATTCACCGTATGTGGCTCCAGCAACTGAACAGTAGGCCAACGGCTGGAAGAAAATGTTGATTCAGTCAGAACTTTCTAAAAGTGAATCTCTCTTAGAATGGACTGGCCAGTGAGGAAGAGAGGTTCCCATCTGATTATGTCCAAGAAAAGGCAGGCTGGCCCATTTATGGGGGGAGATACTAGCTTGAAGTTCGTGTACCAGACAGAGTTAACCCTAAAGTTGGTCATCATCCCAGTCAACCATCTTATTAGGTGCACTATTTACATTATACTGTTCCAGGTTGAAAAACAAAATCACTCGCCAAAAAGACATCCCATTTTGCCTTGTTTACACCACCAGTGGAGGGCTGACCCCTGTCTTCCCAAACTTCAGTTCTTATCAATTCTAGATTCACAAAGTGATTAGGTGATTTGAACACCAAATTATTGAAATCATTACCAAAGAGATTATAGGGTTTTGGGGTTTTTTTTGTTTTGTTTTGTTTTTTGCTTTTTGAAAGAAGGAAAAGTGATGGTTTGGAATGACACATGAACACACTAAGAAATAGTTATTTTTATTATTGACATGTTTTTAAAAAATTGTTCTCTAAAAGCAAACCGCATATCCATAATTGTGCAATTTAGCAGTGGAACGACAGGAAAGCTTTAGCTTTGGAACAGCAGATTTCAAAAATATAACCCACGCCTATTTTCTAAGCTCAACAAATTGCTGTGTGGTATTCTCACTCCACCACTCAGATTTGTCTTTACATTAACAATCCTACCAGCATAGCCAAACAGACTTGCCAAGCTGGACAGATTTCAAAATTTGTTTCCATGCTGGGGTGCTTCATGCACTTGGCAGAAGCAGACTGCAACTGGGGCTCCATTTATTACATTATGCTATAAACATCATGTCCTCAGCTAACGAGATACTCAACATGACAGTCCCATAGGTTACCAAGCACCGTAAACATCTGTTAACACAGGCGCCAGAGAGAGCACGGAAAAAGTGTCAAGTATCCATTTTTAAGTGGTTTATGATGTGGAGTCTGCTGTTTAAAAACTAATAATCAAAAACACAGTCCCAAACTCTGCCTAGAACAAATATTTGCATGGCAAAGTTATGTTCAGTTTGGAAAAAAAATGCACTCATGCCGGCACTTCGTCATTGCATTTATAGACTTTCACTTCACACCTTTGCCCATTAAGTGCTGGCTTTCCATGGCATTCAGGAGACCCAAACTGTAATTTCACTATGATATATTTACTCCAAAGGGAAAGCTGAATGTTGACTCACCAACTTTCCTTAGACCAATGTGAAGCAGAGAGTGTACAAGGGTGGAAGAAGAAGATGAGGCATGGGACCTGCTTCCGCTACAAATGACGCTCCCCAAATCCATCTGAAGGGAAGCCATAAAGCCTGGAGACCCCTTGAAATCCAAGCTGGGGTAACTGAGCTTTGCTTTCTCCAAAGGAAACAGAAACCCCAATCACAGAAAAGATGGAACCAACAACCCTGTCTGCTAAATCATTTATTTTGTTTCTATCCAGCATTTTAAGTTCTGGAAATGTTTCAACACTAGCTATCTTCAAGGTCTATCCCTTGGCACCCCAGGGAAAAGGCCTTCCAGGGTGACCCAGGTGGAAACTAGCCTAGGACACCAGTTGTTCAGGGCACGAAACTGCCACAAGGGAAGGTGAGTGGGCCGTCCCAGCACACTGGTATTCTGACAGTAAACAACGCAGAGACCATCTAGCCTTGACCAAGGTCAGCAGCACCCTGGGACTTTCAGAACCGCAGCGCCAACTTGGGTTCTGGTCTCCAGGATTCTGTGCCCATACATACACACATATCCTAGAAACCCCGTCAGCCTATGCAGGTCTCTGGGGAGTTTCAGAAACCACCTCCAGCCCTCTGCTCCTGAAAGGCAATGGGTTTAGAAGTTTCAAGTCGGAGGCACTTAAATCCTGTGCAGGAACTCCTGAAACTTCCCCACCCGCAGGCCTCCCGTTACCTTTCCCCGTCCCTTCCAGGGTTTCCTGGCCTTACAAACAGGCAGGCGCACCTCTCCGGCCTCCTCCTCCCCCCTGCACACCCTACTGGCTCAGGAGCGGACACGCCTCCCTAGGCGCACACACGCGCACACGTACACCCATTCAGCACACAAACCCGGAGCCAGGCCACCAACTCCCGCAGCCTGGCCCCAGTAAGCGTCCTCCCCTGGGTTCTATATAAAGCGCTCGCCCCCAAATAGACTTCCCCACTCACCCACAAGTGGGTGCCACTGCCCGGCACCCTCTGTGCGCTGCCAGCGCCCTCTCCCCAGACAGGCGGCTACCCCACTCCTCAGAGCCCTTATGCCCCGGGGCAGTTCTGTCAAAACTTTAAGCCTCGTTGATTTCATAACCACGAGTGTGTCCGGGCTGGGGGAGCCCGGCTCGCCAGGACGTCCACTCTCGCCAGCTCATGGGCGCTGGCGGCTCCGGCTCTGCCGACCCCAGCCAGGCGGGTGTCAGTGCAAGTCTGCAGCCGCCACCAGAGCCGCCAGGACTGCGCTCTGGGGAGGAGCGCGCGTGTAAACTCGCGCAGTCGGACACCCTCCCCGCTGCTCCGGCCGCGCTGCCGGGGACCTGTCCCCACTCGGCAGTCCCAGCCCGGCTGAGGATGTCAAACAGAAACACTCGCAAACTTTTACAACAAAACTATCTTCGGAGGAAGCCCCTCCAGGCACCGCAAACACCAGTCGGAGCAAGTGCCAACGTAGGATGGCTCTCCTGTCGCCCCCAACTCCCGGCCGTCCCCCACCAGACACACACACACACACACACACACACACACGTCTACAGCGTGGATCGGGTTACAACAACCCACCAGCAGAAAACAACTTCGCGAGGAGGAGGGGAGCACAGCCAACCCCCAAGTCACCCGGGGAGAAAATCACCCGTGTACATACATAAGACAGATCCCCATTTTCATAAACAACTGGCGTTCCAGGGTCCACTCCCAGGCGCCCTGGCACCACAGGGGGAAAATAAGAACCCGACACCGGAACCCCTTCCAGTACCTTGGAGCCTCGCCTCCGGACTGAGAGCGCCGGTTCGCATCTGCGCCGGGGCCGAGGGCGCGGGGGCCTCCGGGCCGAGTGGCCGCAGCCCGGGGTCCCCGCCGCTGCCCGGGCTCAGCAGCCGCCGCCGCCGCCGCCGCTGCAGCCGCCGCCGCCGCTCCCTGGACCGCCTCCTCTTCCCATGGCTGCGCCCAGCTTGGCAGCTCCGGGCTGTCAGCTCGGGGAGAGGGCGGGGGCGGGGTGGAACGGGAAGGAGGATGGGGCGGGAGGGGTGGGAAACGCGGCCGCGCTTCAGCGGGGTTCGCGCCGGGCCTGGCCCGCCGCCCCCGGGGCCCGGGCTGCCGCAGCGAGGAGAAGCGGGCGTTCGGGGCGGCCGGTTCGAGACCCGCTGCGGAGGCGCCGAGCGCCGTCTCGGCCACGCATTCCGAGGAGCTGGGATGAAGCGTTTCCCGGCGAGGAGTTGGAGTTGGTGCGTGTCACTCTCATCGGGGCTGCGCGGCTCCTCCTAGAGGAAAATATTGGTAGTTGCAGGACACTTCCTTCCTCTCCGCCCACCCCTCTTCCCAAAAAGAAGGCAGGACCTAAAAGAGCTTCAGTGCTCACAAACGGAGCCTTACAGAAGGGTTAGCTCCTCGCAGGGACTGGAGAGAAAACCAGCAAGACAGCTCGGCAAGCCTGCTGGCCAACCACAGTGCCTCTGTCCACCTGCACCAGCCTCCAAACTCCTGCGCACTGGGGCAGCGCGGAAAGACAGCAAAGGTGGGAAGGACCTTATTTTAGAGGTTAGAAAATCCAGACAGGGAGAAGTGATTTACCAAGGGCACAAGACATGTTAAAAGAGAGCTATGTCCAGAAGCCTAGAACGGGGCTGCAGGGGGTACGGACACAGGCCCCAGCCTGAGGATTGACCTTGCCTGTGACCCAGAGAACACGTTTTGACTGCCCTGCCCTGGACATAGTTCCTCTGTCAAAGACGGGCCTGCCAACCTCCTTCCACCGCAGGGAAAATAAAGTGAGCCGAGAAAGGGCTTCAGCAAGTTAAGCATGTCATTTTGGAAAGCGTCAAACTCCCAGTCACCACATGCTTTTCTAAGCAGAAAGTACAAAAGTCCAGTTCCAGGTTGTCTGAGATCTGAAGGAGCAGCCAGTCGTGCTATCGTTCTACTATTTACTTTATTACTGACTGCCAGTTGTAACGTCATTTATCTAACAGCTTCGGCTTACCAAATGATTATTTTTTACAGGGCTCCCAGACACAAAGCCAAGTTTATACCCAGAGAGAAATGTTTAAACAAGTTAAACTTAAATCAAGCTTCTTATCACTAGAATAAAAGATCCCCCAGCATAAAGACTAGTACAGGGGGGGCAAGACTTGGAAAGGAACACATGACCCAAAATTTGGGGGCAGCTGGTGTCATACAAGACACCCCTGTTTTAAATGGAACCCGATTAGTGGAAAATTCTGTTACAAAGAGTCCTTTCCAAGGCTGAGCTGTGGCTCAAAACCCAACTTCTCCAGGCAAATACACAGAATAAAAGGAGGAAAGACTCTGGAAGGAGTGTTGACCATCACTGTCCCATCCAGGGGCAGAAGGCAGGTGATGCTGATTTTGAGCTGGTCCTGTTCTGTCTCACCTGAGTATAATAAGACCTTCTTTCTCTAAGACCCTCCCCCAACCCCTGGGTGGCTGGGGATCTATGCTTTGCTAGAGCAGCAGGAGAGAAGTGGGGAGTTTTTTAAAAGAGGAGTTGCCCACCTGAAGAAAGGTTAGAGCACAGGCAGGCAGAACTCCTGATGGTGGTCAGTACATGCCAAGCTGGCAAAAGGGCGATATGGGCAAGAGTGGAGACCAGGCGGGCCTCGGATGCTGACTCAGCTCCTGTCTGAGATGACCTTCCAAGTTGGCTCTTCAGACTCTGGCACCACCAAGCTCTCTCTATTCCCTCTTCTAGCCCGTGCCCTCCTCCACCCGCCCCCTTTGGAGCTCAAGGAACCTGTATCTCATCTAGGAGGCGCCAGATGGATGCATGAAATACTTTCTAAGTTCTACTGTTTACGCCCCAAGGTGATTTCCAGGCCATGCTTTAAAAAGAAGGGTTGCTTCCTTCTCTTCTCTGAGTTCGGCTGCAGCCCGCGTTAGTGAGGCAGGAAAGGAGCGCACTCTGGCTACAGCTCCACGTTTGACAGGAAGGTCACATGCACAGAAGACGGAGGAAAAGCACTAATTGATATAAACTTGCAACTGAAGAAACCTGCAACTTACATGAAGGGCTGTCTTTATTTTGAAGTCCCCTGAATAAAGGTCTCTGGATGTCATCTATGACTATGTGTAGGTCTATGGTAGTAGATGTCACTTTGTATTTTCCAGATTATGAGGGAAATGTATCAGGTATGGAGCTGACTGATTTGTTCCGAGTGAGGGCATACCAGAGCCCCTTTACCTTCTGGAACCTGAAACTGCATACTCATGCCTTCCCTCTGCCTGGAATATCCTACTTGGACCAAATAGGGGAGCCTCCTTGACCTTCAAGTTTCAGTTCAATTGTTCAGTTACTCTCCAAAGCCCTGTCTGGCTGTTCCCACAGGTGGACTTCATTAATGAGTCACCCTATATCTGCATCCTCGTAGGCCTTTGTACCTACTTTTATTAAATACTTCTGTTTTTACTGATGTGTCTGTTTTCCCCATTCGTTCTGAGACCCTTAATATTTGTACCTGAAATGTCCAAGTTAGTGCCCAGCAAACGGTAGGGTGCCCAATAAATGTTTAAACTAAATTGAATGAAAATTCATTATCTCCCGAATTTGTGTCTCTCAAACCTGATCTCTATACAGAGCTGCAGATGGGCGCACTCAATATCCTCTCATATTCCACACTGAGAATCCGTTCACTTCTGAGCCCTCCGTGCCCAGCACCTGGTCTGAGTCACCATCATCTCTCACTGGATTACTGCTGGCGTCTTTCACTCCACTGGTCTCCCTGCAGCAGCCCCCCACCACCCCTGCCACCCAGAGGCTGGTTACACTCAGCTACCAGCAGGATTCTTCTCTACACCGAGTCAGGTGACACTCCTCTGCTCAAAAGTCTTCAGTGGCGCGCCTTTTAAATCAGAGTGAAATTCAAAACGACCCATGAGGCCCTCCATGAACTGTGTACCTCTGTCCTCTCCCTTGTCTCCTGTTGCTACCCATCACTCAGTCACCCATTCTGCCCCAGACACAGGGTCTTCTTCTTGGTTCCTTAGCAGGCCAGGCGCACCGGGCACTTAGAGCCTTCGGACTGGCTCTTCCTCCGCCATGAACCTCTGCCCCAGGTACCTCCTTACTCCCTCTGCGTCTTTGCTCAAATTGACCTGGTCCGTGAGTGCTATCTTGATAGGCCTATTTTACCCAGTGACAGCCCCCCTTTCTCCCCTGTTGCTGGTCTCTGCATGGCTGAAAATATAAACTGCATTTTAAAGACGATAACAATTATAACATGATTCAGATTATGCATATTCAAGTGTGGACATCCAGGAGCTATGTCTCCCCAAACTATACAACTCCACAGTATAAACTCCTTAAGTCTACAGTTATCTGGGATGAGCTTTGGTTGTAGTGACAAAGCTTTTTCTCAGAACAAAACACCCGAAACAGCATGCTGTAGCTGCTTCATTGTGTAGCATTTGTAGTTGAAGAACGTGGGATTGGCAGTCAGGAGCCTCTGGATACTGTGTGAGTCATCTGTGATTTTATCTACCTCACAATAGCTCAACTTCTGGGTTTATAGAATGAGGGGGTTGCTCTCTGACGTCATTCCAGCTGTAGAACAAATTGTTAGACTGATATTTGTGATGGTTAATATTATGTGTCAATTTGGCTAGGCCACGATATTCAGGTATTTGTTAGAATATTCTTCTAGATATTTCTATGAAAGTATTTTAAAGAGGAGACTAACATTTAAATCAGTGGACTCTGAGTAAGGCAGTTTATCCTCCATGATGTGGGTGGGCCTCACCCAATTAGTTGAAGGTTTGAGTAGGAAAAAGACTGAGTTCTTCTGAGAAAGAGGGAATTCTACCAGCAGACGGCCTTGGACGTGAAGTGCAGTCAGTGATTCCCCGGGTCACCAGCCTGCCCGTCTACCTGCAGATTATGGACTTGCCAACCTTCACAACTGCATAGCCAATTCCTTAAAACAAATTTATCTGTCTATCCACCTATCTGGGTATATATCTCCCATTGGTCCTGTTTTTCTGAAGAACCCAGACTAATAATATTTATTGGTAAATTCTAAAAATAAAACACACTTGCTTTAAAAGATTTTTTCAAACTAACACTGAATTCCCATCCACCAGATTGTTTTATTCAACAAATGTTGGAGAGCCTACACCGTGACCGGTTGGTTTTAGGAACTTAAGATACACCAGAAAAGACACAGCACACCCACAAAACCCTGTCCTCAGGGGACTTGAATTCTGGTTGGGAGACACAAGGACAGTAAACACGATAAGCAGATCACTGAAGGGCAGGGAATGCGGGGAATGGTAAGCAGGTCGGAGCTCTTCCTCAGGGGCCCTGCAGCGCGCTCCGGAATCGGGCAGGTGATGGTCGTCTCGGGCCCCAGCGCCCAGCTGCAGAGATGGACGGGAAGGCAAGGGAATCACCAAGGGGAGAAACCACATTAGGAAGTGTTTACCTTTTCTTCCCTCGACCGAAAGGAAATGGGGAAAAACCTACTTCTTGATCTGCAAGTTCTTAGCCAAGACTTATATGAGGAGGTTCCAGAGCCAGAATTAAAGCTTCAAATCACCATTTATCTTATGAATTTTAAAAAATAGGTATTTCAATTTAGAGCTCATAAAAACTCAAAGGATTTTTTTTTTTAAATCCTCACACGAGGACATTTTTTGCATTCATCTTCAGACAGAGCGGGAGCGAGGGAGAGAGAGAGAGAGAAACATCCACACAACCCCAACTGGGACCAAACTGCAACCGAGGTACGTGCCCTTAGCGGGAACTGAACCCAGGTTACTGTGGTCCGCAGACTGACACTCT